ATTTAGGAATTCTTTAAATGACCTCTATGGCAATACAAGGGCATTAAAAGGCTTATTAAACTCAGACTTTAAAAATGGATTCTCAAAATATCATAAGATTTTCCTCGTAACTGGTGGGAGGAAAACGCCACTTAATCAACTCACTTAAGCTGGGATTCCAAGATGGATTTTCCCTACTTATACTTAACGTATCTAATTTGCTCTCTTGACCCGTGGCCCCAAGGATAATTGACAAAATGGCGTCGATAATGCTCCAAGACTGTACCGTAACTAGATGATTTATGGACAAAATAGCGTCGATAATGCACCAAGACTGTACCGTAACTAGATGTTTTATGGACAAAATGGCGTCGGTAATGCTCCAAGACTGTACCGTAACTAGATGTTTTATGGACAAAATGGCGTCGATAATGCACCAAGACTGTACCGTACCTAGATGCGTTATGGACAAAATGGCGTCGATAATGCACCAAGACTATTTTAACTAGACACGATATCTTCAGGTATGGCTAGTAAGATTCACATAGGTTCGTAAGTTAATTTTTACCTTATAACTGAAGATATATGGATGTATTTAACTGTTTCACTGGACCACCTGAAGATTAACCACCCTAACACTATTTGGGGGATAAGGTTAGGTTAAGTTTTTAAATTTAATTTCTGCGATAATTTTATATAATTTGTATTTTTTTTATTAAATATTACTCTTAATATCATTCACATATCTTTTGATTTTATTGGTTTTTAATTTTTTTATTCATTATGTTTGACTTTATTGTTTTTATTTAAATCAGCCAGTTATTTATTATTTATTATGCATTTCTTTATTCATTCTTGTATATATATTTTATTTATTTAAGTCAGTCAGTTACTTAGACTCATACACCTTTCATTATTACAAGTATTTTCGTTCTATATTGTGTGAACCTCAACCCGGGTGACGCCACAGTAATTATTAAGATGGAAATGATCGACCTAACTCGCGACTTTCCCATGAACGTTCAGTGGTAAACATTCAGTGGGGACCTTCGCTGCGTCCCACAATGCCTGCAGGTTGGCTCTCTTCATTACGGAAATGTCATGTGTGGTGGGGGAGGTAGGGGGAGGGGTAGGAGGTAAGGTGAATGAGGGGTAGGAGTGAGGGGGTGGGAGAGGTGAGGGGTGAAGTTAATAAGGGGCGACCAGGGTGAGGTGAAGGGGTAGGAGTGAGGGGGGTGGGATGAAGTGGAAGGTGAGAGGAAGATGGAAAGGGTGGAGGAAGAGGAAGAGAGGAACTAGAAAAATTAAAATAGAATGGAGGAGAGACAAAGAGAAGAGGGAAGGAGAAGAGAAGTAGGAGGAAGAGAGATAATGGGAAGATGAGGAAGAGAAATAAGGAGGAAGAGGAGGAGGCGGCCCTTCCTTCAGAGACAGACAAATTGGCCTTTGATCAACCGATAGGATACTAGTTCTGGTTTACCCTGTGTGTGTGTGTACGTATGAGAAAAGAAGACGTTCATGTGTACATTTATAATACACACAAACAGAAACTTACAAAAATACACCAATATCTTCCAAACACAAACCCACGTCGCCATTACCAGAGTCTCCAGAACATTCTAACAGAGGTCCAGATCACCCAGCTGTCAGGGGTTAGATTGTACTTGTTCCCTTGTCTTTGTTAACAAGGACAAGGGTCTGACGTAACGACCCTCGAACACAATTGGTGGTTGGGTTGTTTGTGGCGGCAGTTATTAGCTTCTGGTATTGGCTAAGATGTCGATATGTTTATTATGAGTCTCTGATAACACGTCCCAAGACCTTCTGCTGGGGACGTACACACACACACACACACACACACACACACACACACACACACACACACATTAATTCTATCTCACACGTACACACACGAGGTAATTTCTCTCTCTCTCTCTCTCTCTCTCACACACACACACACACACACACACACACACACTTAGCCTGAGATATTTAATCCTGAACTTGAAGTAAACTTAGTAATTACTGACTAAACAACACCTGTGAGTGATTTATGCTGTTATTTAAGGGGTTCAGTGCTGTTATTTAAGGGGTTCGTTATTTAAGGGGTTCAGTGCTGTTATTTAAGGGGTTCAATGCTGTGATTTAAGGGGTTCAGTGCTGTTATTTAAGAGGTTCAGTGCTGTTATTTAAGGGGTTCAGTGCTGTTATTTAAGGGGTTCAATGCTGTGATTTAAGAGGTTCAGTGCTGTTATTTAAGGGGTTCGATATCGTGATTTAAGAGGTTCAATGCTGTTATTTAAGGTATCAGTATCATTCAATGTATTAAGAAAATAGACTAACATCAGAGGAAGTATTTTAAGTTAAGCAGCCAGAAAGTATTAATATCACCCAAAGTTTTAAGGAAATAAGGTACGTGGTCTAGACGTTGGCTTTAGGTCAACAACTTTGTTTAATTTGGGGATTTTTTGGTGATCCAGTAATGGGTTGTGAGTTCGGTGATGATGGTGTGGTGATGTGGTGGTGATGATGGTGTGGTGATGTGGTGGTGATGATGGTGTGGTGGTGGTGATGGTGAGGTGGTGGTGGTGATGGTGGTGAGGTAGTCTAGAGTGGTAGTGGTGGTGGTCTGGAGTGGTGGTAGTTGTGATGGTGGTGTGGTAGTTATGGTGATGACTGTAGTAGTGGTGATAATGGTGATGGTGGTAGATGGTGTGGTGATGTGGTGGTGATGATGGTGTGGTGATGTGGTGGTGATGATGGTGTGGTGGTGGTGATGGTGAGGTGGTGGTGGTGATGGTGGTGAGGTAGTCTAGAGTGGTAGTGGTGGTGGTCTGGAGTGGTGGTAGTTGTGATGGTGGTGTGGTAGTTATGGTGATGACTGTAGTAGTGGTGATAATGGTGATGGTGGTGTACAGTTATTAAAAAAAAACTACTTACAAAAATAATGTTAAACAATACGACACAACGAACGAAGGATTTTGACAACACTACCGAGACAACAGGAGTCTTATAGTGTTCATTCTGAAATTCATCGATGGCGTTTTGTTTTCTGCAGTGACTTACATAACATTAAATACGGATCAGAATGTGTCAATAACTTCATGGTAACAAATCCTCGCGAACTGTCTATGATAATCTGGGTAGCGTTTTAGTGGTTATCCGGATTATTTGGTTATCCGGATTATTGTTAAACTTGTTCCGGATTATCGACAATGTTCGTTCAAATTATCGGTAGTGTTATTTGGAATTATTGCCGTTTTTAGTTCATATTGCTGCTAACATTACGAATTATCGATGTTATTTCGGATTATCGGTAAAGTTGATCCGGATTACTTAAGTTATTTAGGATTATCACTAAAGAAAATCGTAATCTTCTTAAAACCTAACCTAACCCAACCCCACCTAACCTATCCTAACCCAACCCCACCTAACCTATCCTAACCTAACCCAACCTCGCGAACGCTCAGAATATAATCCGTCTCTTCGTCTCCCACACACACACACCTGTCCCCCCCTACCTCCACACACCTGCTGGGGGGTATTACAGGTGTGTGAGCGTCAGTGTTATGGGGAGCGGTGTTGGTAATGGCATTTTAAGCTGGTGTGTGTTAACCCTTTTTACGGCTTGTTGGGAATCGCCTTTAGTCTATACCGGGATTGTCTGACGCGTGTTGTGTGTGACGTCATTCGTTTGTTAGTGTCAGGCTCGTTCGTTCGTGTTGTGTGTGACGTCATTCGTATCTCTATTAGTTTATGCGGTGTGGACACATTCTTGTTCCCTGACTCAGCAGGAGGGATATAACAGTCGCCAGGGAGAGCTGTTGTCAAGGGAGAATAAGGTGATGGGGGGAAAACGTGAGACGAATGTTGACAGGTTGTGGTTACGGTCCCTTGAGGGGGAGGGTGTGAGGTGTTGCTGTGTCGGCCAGAGAGGAGACAAGACCTCGTGTTGTGTGTAGGGGAGGGGAGGGAGGGTAGGGAAGGGAAGGGGAGGTTAGGGGAGGGGAGGGTAAGCTTGGTTACGTGAAGTTTGGGTAAAGTACAGTAAGCCAGATTTAAGATGACGACTCAAAATGGCGTCACACTTGTACTGGGACTCTGCCGTAACAAGAATGACCCTAAGTTAGTCTTAGTCGACGTTAAATCACACACGAAAGAATAAAAATCCCTCATACACGAAATATTATCCGTCAGGTCAGTAAGGGCATATTAATGTGGAAATTGTTTAATAATTGGCGTCTTGGTGGACTTGTTATTGCTTCACTAATTAATGAAGGGAGTGTAATGAGCGGAAGACTTAATGATTACTACGGCGAAAACTTTGTCGTTTGGTGAAGTATTGTGGTGGTGTGGTGGATATGGTGTGGTGTTGTGGTGGTGAGATGGGGTGGTGTGGTGGGAGGATGGTGTGGTGGTGTGGTTGGTGGGAATGAGGTGGTGGTGGTGTGTTTGGTGGGGATAAGGTGGTGGTGGTGGTGGTGTGGTTTAGTGTTGGTGGGGTGTTATGGTGGTGGGTGGATATGGTGTAGGTATGGTGGGTTGGTAGTGTATTGTGTAGGTGTGGTTGAATGGTAGTTGGATGTGGTAGCTGGGGTGTGTTGGTTGGTGTGGTGATTGTGGTTGGATATAGTGTAGTGTGGTGATTGTGGTTGGATATAGTCTAGTGTGGTGATTGTGGTTGGATATAGTGTAGTGTGGTGATTGTGGTTGGATATAGTGTGGATGTGATGTATGTTAGTTAACCTGGGCTAACTTAACCTGAAGTGGATTAACAAGATCTAATGTTCACCTTAACACGACTTAAATTAACTTAATCTAATTTATAACTTAGGCTAATTAACTTAACTCCACCAAGAACAATTTTCCTGCATATTAACACCTTACACACACACACACACACACACACGCGAAAAAAATCTCCATACATACGCTCAGACATACATACATACATACATACATACATACATACGCTCAGACATACATACATACTAATAAAGTCTAAATTCCTCCTCCTACAGGTGTACAGTAGCGGCGGCAACAGTATTGAACAGACACACACGCCCATGGTCAGCACTCACCCGCCCTCCCCATAGCTCTCAGGTAAGATCTGTGTACATCGTCTCTTATGGTGTAAATTGTGGTTATATTGTGGTGTATATTGTGGTTATCTTGTGGTGTAAATTGGTGTTATATTATGGTGTAAATTGTGGTTATATTAAGGTGTAAATTGGTGTGGAATGAATAGTTAATTACCGTAATTACAGGTGATAAAATACCTTTGCAGGAACGTATCTATATTAATTGATGATAAGAGATAAACATTTCCTCTCGTCATATTATTTACGATGCAGGAAATTACGTCTGAAATTAAATAACTCTTTTTGACTTATAGTTGAATAAATTATGTTTTACAGGTTAATGAAAGAAAAATATTTAGCGTGATTGATTGATTGAGTGATTGACATTAAAGGTAAATTAATTGAAAGATTATTATTGTGTTTGACATGTTATTTACGTACTACAGGTGTATTAGTAAATGTTGTGGAGATTCATATCAGTATTTTGATGGTCTAGTACAGGAGGTTATTGACCTTTGATGTATGTGTGACTGAGGTGGGGAGGGACGATGGGAGGTAGAGGTGGGGAGGAGAGATGGGAGGTAGAGGGGAGATAAGAGGTAGAGGTGGGGAGGGTGGATGGGAGGTAGAGGTGGGGAGGAGAGATGGGAGGTAGAGGGAGATAAGAGGTAGAGGGGGAGGGTGGAGGCCGGGAGGTGGGAGGGGAGGAGAGATTGGAGAGGTGGGAGGAGAGGAAGTTGGGAGGGGATGGGGAGGTAGAGTGGAGAGGGGGGGGAGAGATGGGAGGTAGAGGGGAGATAAGGGGTAGAGGGTTGTTCACTGGCACTCTCCTGTACAGCATTATTATTCATTGAACCAACGCCAGACGAACATTCACCTCTCCATTTTCTTACCCTGGCGTTCCCCATTACTGGTGTATTATTCATTGAACCAACGCCAGACGTATCCTCTAGTCTGCCCGCACTGGCGCTCCTTTATACAATGGTGACGAACTTGTTTGTCCTGGGAAAATAATGAGCTGGCTGGGTGGGAGGGGGGCTTTGTGGCCAGTTTCGTTTAAAGTTGTGTTACATTACTTCATGTGTGTGTGTGTGTGCGTTTAATTGTATACTATACATACGTTTGTGTACGCTTATGAATGTGTGTGTGTGTTTGTGAAGCGTGCATGTGTGTATTGTGAAGCGCGCATGTGTGTGTGTGTGTGTGTATTGTGAACCGTGCATGTATATATGTATTGTGGAGCGTGCATGTGTGTGTGTGTGTGTATGTATGTATTGTGAAGCGCGCATGTGTGTGTGTATTGTGGAGCGTGCACGTGTGTGTGGGTATAGGAGCGTGCATGTGTGTGTGGTGTATTGTGATGTGCATGTGTGTGTGTGTATTGTGATGCATGTGTGTGTGTATGTGAACCGTGCATGTATATATGTATTGTGGAGCGTGCATGTGTGTGTGTGTGTGTATGTATGTATTGTGAAGCGCGCATGTGTGTGTGTATTGTGGAGCGTGCACGTGTGTGTGGGTATGTATAGGATGTATGTGTGTGTGTGTGTATTGTGAGCGTGCATGTGTGTGTGTGTGTGTGGAGTGCATGTGTGTGTGTGCATGGAGCGTATGTGTGTGTATTAGGAGCGTGCACGTGTGTGTGGGTATGTACTAGGAGTGCATGTGTGTGTGTGTGTATTAGGAGCGTGCATGTGTGTGTGTGTGTATTGTGAGCTGCATGTGTGTGTGTGTGTATTGTGGAGCGTGCATGTGTGTGTGTGTGCATTGTGGAGCGTGCATGTGTGTGTGTGTGTGTATTGTGGAGTGCATGTGTGTGTGTGTGTATTAGAGCGCGTGTGTGTGTGTGTATTGTGGAGCGCGCGCATGTGGGATATACAGTATATTGCGGCTCTCATGTGTGCGTGGGAGTGATTGCCCGCTCGCATGTACCGCCCCACATATGCGTGCAAAGTCCACCATGACACCCGCTTATCCAGAGCCATTAATAACGGACCTACAAGCCCACCCTCAGTCCACCCTCCCCGCGGCGGCCAAACCAACAAATACCACCAGCGGGTAATGTGCGTTATCAGCCGCTCTCCTGACCTCCTCTCCTGACCTCTGTGTGCTGGTTAGAGTCTCAGAGGTAAGGCTCGTACGCTGGGATAGTCCCCGTAACCAAAGACGTAAGGATGGACTTGATCAATTAAGCTTAAATCACAATATAGACTTGATCAATTAAGCTTAAATCACAATATAGACTTGATCAATTAAGCTTAAATTACAATATAGACTTGATCAATTAAGCTTAAATCACAATATAGACTTGATCAATTAAGCTTAAATCACAATATAGACTTGATCAATTAAGCTTAAATCACAATATAGACTTGATAATTAAGATTAAATCGCAACAATAACGCCTCGAAATAACACAATAACTTAAACTACCTTTCCTGGGGCCATGTTCTGAGACGGCGAGATGTAAGGTTGTATTTAACTAGTTAATATCTCCTTAAGAGTATAAATAAAACTGTACTAAGACTATTTTAACAAGATATATTAAGTTAACATCAGCTGACATTAACTTAAGGACTCGTAATGATTATCTACCTTAAGTGAGTCTGGTGTTAAGTGAACGTCGCTAATTAAGGTAAAACGAGATTTAATGTAATATTGATTCTAATCCTGGACGATATTTTCTACGTTATAGTCTAAAGTCAAGGAGTTCATTGTATATTTACGTCAGCACATAGAGAAAAGTTTATCGTACGGACGTTTGGGAATATAATGGGGGGAGACCATGGCACTTCATTGCAATATTTGGGTCGTGTAAACAGTGGCTGCCTGGACCTGCATTGTGCGCGCGTTAGTGCTTGTGATGGCCGGAGACAAAAGACTATTGGCGCCCTGTTTGTGGACGTCAGCGCTGGTACGAGTATCAGAGGGAAGGATACCACTTACGTCCGCACCTACAGGAGCTATCTGGTGCTACAGCGACACTTGTAGCGTTAACATTACGAGATTCCTGCATCTTAAACAACATTAATACTTTGCAATATCAACATTAAGACCTTGTAACAACATCAGTGTCATGAGAATACTTGCAACATCGTCAGCACCATAATAGGAACTCTCAACATCACCAGTATCACAGACACACACACAGAGCACAGCACAGCACCACCAACAAGAAAAAGGTACATTGTCATCCTCGTTACCAGCGTGGCTTAAAATAACGCACCAACATACTGAGAGAGAGAGAGAGAGAGAGAGCGAGAGAGAGAGAGAGAGAGAGAGAGAGAGAGAGAGAGAGAGAGAGAGAGAGAGAGAGAGAGAGAAAGAGAGAGAGAGAGAGAGAGAGATGGCGGCCAAGGTGAATAACGTAAAATGGTTGCCCAACTTTTCGACTATGTGAAGACAGCACAGAAAGTGGATCACCCTGGGTTTGGCTGAGAAGGGTGTGTGTGTGTGTGTGTGTGTTCGTTTCATAAGCAGCAAAAATAGTGCAGACTTAACCCCTCGAGCATGATGACTTAACCCCCTCTAGTATGATGACTTAACCCCTCGAGTGTGATAACTTAAGGTCGTTATATCAGTTAAAACTAATTAGAAAAAGTAATTTGTCCCTCTAAATAAGGCATCATATATCTAGTTAACAATTGGATATCTGACCCACAGCAGGCACCAGCAGCGTGTGTGTTAGTTACATATTGTAATTCACACGCGTTACGTGCTTAAAAAAATAAAAAAACCAAATATATAAAATAAAGTAAAAATAATACCAACTGATGTATAAAAAAAGATATATTTAATTTTTTAATTTTGAGATTTAATCAATTTTCCGTATGAATGAAACTTTATATTTGTAATGGAATGTTTTTATTGTTACAGAAACAATTACGGTAAACTGACTTTTGGTAGAACTATTGTTTATAGAATGAATAAAAGATTAATAGAAATAATAATCTGGTGTGTTGGAAAGTTCTGAATGGGAAATTTTAACTTAGTTTCTGTAGTAAAAACTTAACTTAACCTTTGAATTTAACTCTTAATTATGAACAGAAAATTTCCACTGTGGGTTAAAGTTTGTTGTTGTAATTTGTGAGAGCTGAGAAAATAATGCTTGTGAGAGTTAAGAGCTGAGATTATACTGCTGAGAGAATTTATGTCTGTAAGAGTTATAAGAATATCTCAGATTAAAAGCTGAGAAAATACTATACATGTCTAATATCTGAGAAAATGTGGAGTCAAAGCTGAGGAAATTCTTTTTGTGTCTAAAGGCAGAGAAAATTCCGAGTTTAAAAGCTGAAAAAATAATGTCTGCAGTATTATTTTTTTTCCTGAGTCGAGAAAAAGTTTTGTAAGGGTTAAGAAAACTGAGCTGTGAGAAGGATATTTTTTACTTGTTAAGCCAAGGACAACATTGGCTTTATCTGGGAGCTGAGAGAACGTTACTTGTCTCGGCGTAAGAGCTGAGAAGATGCTGTGAGTTTCAGGGCCGAGGAGGAAGGTAGAGGGGTGAGGATCAGTAGATAAGGTAGGGGTAAGGAATGGGTAGGAAAGGGTAGGGGATAGGTAGGTAAGGTATAGGGAGATAGTAGTAAGGGTAGGGATGAGTAGAATAGGTAGGGGATAGGTAGGTAAGGTATAGGGAGATAGTAGTAAGGGTAGGGATGAGTAGAATAGGTAGGGATAAGGGTAGGGGATAGGTAGGTAGGGATAAGGGTAGGGGATAGGTAGGTAAGGTATAGGGAGATAGTAAGGGTAGGTATGAGTAGAATAGGTAGGGATAAGGGTAGGGGATGGGTAGGTAAGGTATAGGGAGATACAGGAAATACCATTGTTAAACGATATCAAACCCATTGTTGGTCAAAGGTTAGCTCAGGTCAGATGAGGTTACGTTTGGTTAGGTTAGGTTGGATCAGCTTAGGTCGGGTTAGGTTATGTTATGTCAGGTAAGGTTAGTTTTACATCACATTTTTATTATTCTTTAAAATATCGATTAATCAAAGTTTTTCTTTGTAATAAAAATCTTAT